TGTACAATTGTTAAAGTGATGTTGACACCTCAGGGTAGGGGGAGTTAAGTGTAGATGCTCTGACTCGTTGCTTTGGATGGCAAATGTACAATTTACAGTCCTTTTACTTAACACTACTACCTGCACAACAGCTAGCCACTGAAGTGATTGCTTGCACCTACCTCACTGTGGTTTTTTTTTTTAATAGCTCACTTGAAAATACGTTTTATTAAACATGGAAAGGGCCCTAAATTACAGCTCTGAGGCTGTGATTTAACCTGATACATGACAGTTTAATCCTACCATTTTCCTTGCCATGCCCCTTTCTCCTCATTTCCTACCCTTTCTCTCTGAAATCTCATTTGTGGGAATGTTGCCCATTTGGTTGGGGTTTTGTGGGCTTGCACTGCAAGCACTCAAATTGTCCTTGCACACGCAGTGCAAGGTGCTCCAAGTATGTTGGTATTTATTGTGAGAGGCCTTGACCCAAAATGAGGTCCTGAAGACCTCAGACAGACTAAATAGCCTTAAAGTAGGTGTCATATCTCAACTGAGTGATAACTGCATGATCACATGAACTCCGACCTGCCAGTCATGTCTTTTGGTGTGTGCAGGGCAGCCACCAGCAGGTCCCCTTTCCATCCAAGGACAGGATAGCTGGGAGATGGAATTTGTGGGGATTGAAGCAAAACTACTGCACCACCAAAGGGTGGTGGAGAAGGGAACTGCAGAGACAGGCAGAAGAGGGGATGTGAATAGAGAAGAAAAGGGGGTATTAGAGGTCAGCCATAACCCTTCTATCCTCTACAAATTGGAGTATAAAGCATTAGACCATTGATGCCTTAAGAGGCCCACCCATGTATTTCATGTTATCACCATGTTAGAAGCTTTGATTACAGACTGAGGAAAGGAAGGAGGAAAAAGCAACAAAGCATTAAACATGTAAAACTATTAAGCATGTCTTCCATTTATAGCAGTGGCCTCTGTTACTGTTATTCCTGTGACTTTAGCAGATGAAAGCTTTTAGAAGAAACCTAATTAATTATTGAGGATGAGCCCACTGCCATGCAGAAGAAATGCCAGAATACAGAGTTAGTTTCTGGTGACTGTAATGCCTAGTCCTGTCACCTCAATGGCAAATACCCAAAAGGGGAAAGAGAAAGAGTAGCACAGAGGGGAGGAAATCAGTTTGTGTTTGGTGCTGCCTGACTCGGAGCATCAGTGCTGGAGACAGGGTGAGGGTGCAGTCACATCAGCCAAGCTTGGGCTGGCTGAGCAGGGAGGCCAGGCAGTTGTGCTACAAAACCACAGCCTTGGCAAGCTAAAGTATGTGTAAGCAGAAGGTAGAAGGAAATAAAATAAGGTGGCAAAGGCATAGGAGGGACAGTTGCTGGGGGGGCTGGGAAGGCTGCCAGCAGCCCAGCTTTACAACCCAGGCAAACCTTTCGAGTTCTTTGCCTCCCAGGCTATGACAAGCCATGTGTTGGGTCACAAGCTTCAGGGAAATGCATCTACGCCACTGGATCACAAGATGGGGGAGTGATTGTAGCTCCAGGCTCTGGCTGGTGAGGAGGAACCAGGACCTAGCAGACTTCCTTTTGGGGCAGACGTGCCCTCTAGCTACAAGCCCACAGTGGCAGGAAGCTGTGGCTCTTCCCAGCCTGTGTGAGCTCCAGCCTGGGCTGTTGGAGAATACAGTCAGGCCTGGAAGCTGCCCTTGGCCTGTGGGAGCTGCTGGGTCTGCAGGGGTGCACAGCTGCTGTGGGGAAAGGTAAAGGCACCTCCACCACCGCTGTCTTGTAAGGGTGACTGAAGCCTCTAGATTCCTTGTGTGGGCATGGCCCCACAATGACAGAGCTTGGTTGTTTCACCCCACTTGCCTTCCTGGCGCCAGGGCCAAATTAAGGATGTGGAGCTGGGTGCTGGCTGTAACAGCCCATCTTCTGTATTTGTGTTCCCAAAGTAGCCTTCAGCTACTAATGTCAGCTTTGGGTAACTGATTTCTGATTTCTCCCACCTGTTATTTTCCAGTTAGTCTCAAATGCCAGCACTGTATTAGCTGACCATTTAGATGTAATTTGGGCTAACCCACTAATTTTTTTTTTTTCTGCTGACCTTAATATCTCTTTTGTACAGCAGGCTGAGTTAGACTGCTGTCCCTTCAGTCAATTTATAGTAGAGGCTTCAGTGCAGACCATTAGTCTTAACCTGGAGTATTTGGATGTCTTATAAAGATATACCAATATCTACCTATAATCTGTAAACCACCCGTAGGGCTTTTTGGTAACTTAGTATTTATGGGGTCCCTAAGAATATGAATTCAGGTTGTGTTTGGAAGATGGAAAACAAACTATTCAAAACCCATGAAATTTACAGGGGATGATAAAAGGGTCGAGATCACTATTCCATAGCACTATGAAGATGGCATGTGCTATGTATTTTCTTCTCCAGAACTTATTTCACTAGTCATCAGGGACACAGGTAAGTCAGCAAAAGTGATGAGAGTAGCAAATTTCTGAGGGAAAGTAGCCAATTTAAAACCAAAACGCAACCATACAAAAATAAATCCAAACAACAAATCAAACTCAAGCAGATAACACCCCCTACTCCCATCTCCCAACTCAAAGGACGTACAATAAACAAGTAGTAACTGCTGTGGGGGTATAGTGCAAGACTGTTCACTGAGCTACGGATCCATTTCCTCTTCATTAGGGAGAAGAAACCCACATATCAACACTGGAGAACAAAATCTCAAGGGAAGCACTGTGACTTTTGTCTCATTTTCCTTGCCACAGTACCACATTTTTGTTTTGCTGAAGAAGCAGAATTATTTGCAGAAAATCAGCTTGTTGTCAGCAGGCAGTTTCTCAGGGTTAATGACAGGAGAACTGCACTTTGAGGCAATCTCTCATGTGGAAGTGCAGATCCCTGTGAGTGGCTGCAGCTGTGACTCCTGCAGCCTCCTTTGGCCACGAGGTACATTACGGGATCTGTTCGGCTTTGAGGGGTACGTAGCCCTTAGTACTGACTGTAAATGGAAACAGTAGTTTGAGCAAATACTCGTCGTTCTGTTTTAGTGTACCTAAATGTGATGCTTGAAACAAGCAAGGAAAAGCAAACAGCACATCTGCCTGCTTCTCTCTGAGAGTATTCCACCTCGGCTCTGGGGGTGCCACTCCTGAATTTTCTCGCCTCATTTTTAAGTGTTTCTTTGTTCCAGTGGCAGAAACAAAACGCCCTGGATCTCCGTGTTGTGGGAGTGAAATATGTGGCTTGCTCTTTGTAACAGAGGTTCTTTATACAGCTTAAAAAAAAAAATTAAAAGAAAGTTAACAACCTAATTAAAAAAAAAATCCACCCCTCCAAAAACAGGCCTGAAATCTTCGACCTTTTTTTAAACTGTGAATCCTATTGTGCAGATGCATGCTCCTTCTGACCTGCTGACTGTTGGAGCTAAAATGAAACATACCTTGCTCTTATTCTTTGGCAGAATTCAGCTCATGTTGAGGGAATCAATATTTTTGGCAGAAGCACCCAAAATCCTAACACATGCTGCCTGATGTTTCATTTCTGGATTACAACATGTTTTTACCCTGTGGGCATTATCCAGGGAAACCAGGCTGGGTCTGCCTGATGCATAAAACAAATCTGGCTAAATGATTGCCAAGAGGCAAGTAAATGATGTACTCAGAATCCATATTTTTAATGGGAATTTAGATTACATTTCAGTCATGCTAAATGATTATTAATACTATTTAACTCACCGGTCCAAGAATCAAATAAATATAATAGTCTGAAACCTGTGCTTAAAGAGCTTAGAACAACATTTTAAACTTCTAAAATAACTGTATCTGTCCTAATTAAGTCAGAGTAGCAGAGACAGTATTTAAACCTCACATTTTTCCTTCTTGATGCAAATGGACCTTTGTGTCTTTTTATTTCTGGGAAGCTTTGTTAGCCTCAGTTAGCTGAAATACTTGCATATGATTGTTTTTTTCGAAAGAAAAGATACGCTGTATTTAGAGATGCAAATACTACCTTGTCTGCAAAAAAAAATCCCAGCTGTTATACTGGAATACAAAGCTAATTCTATGTTATTTTACTTCAGTAGTGTCTGTGTATTCACAGCCATCTTTTTAACAACTTTCTCTGCATAGCTGAAAAATACCAGACGTAAATTTCTTTTTATTTCCTTTGGTAATAGCCTAGTAAAATCTGAATTGATCTGTGACTTTTTTTTTTTTAAACAAATAAATAGATTAACTAAGAGAATATACCTTTGCATTAGTGTTTGTACAAAAATCGAACAGACTGCTAGCTTTGATCATCGAATTCCTTGAATATGAGTTTACTAATTGCTGTCTTAAATATTTGACTGGAGACTGAGTCAGGTCAAATATGCAGCTCTGCAGTAGAAGAAACTGCTGCTGGTTTGTGTGTCAGTAGCACAGCTCTCTAAAGGGCTTCTTTGCTTCTGCTTCAAACATCTGGGGAGACAAAGAGCGTTTGTGGGGTCTTTTGTTGTTGCTGAAAGTTGGAGCAGGGAAGAATTATGTTCTAAGAAACACTCTGAATCCTGGAAAAATCAGGGTGGAATCATTAAGTATTGGGCTTTATCTCCTTTATAAACGAAAGTGCTTTCGTTTTGTCTGCAGAGACTGTCCTGGTAATGGATGTTACATAATATTTACTCTTCCCTTCAGAGTTAAATCCTTTTTCTGATTTGCGAGTAATATTTGCATATGTATTTCTGAGCTGCATTGACATGCCAGATGCACAGGGGTAGCTGTCTCCGCCTGCTAATCCTGTAATAACATTCTGGTGACCAAATTCAATGGCACTGCGTGGCGCCTCGAAACAGCTGATTGCTGAGTAGGGAGGAAAAAAAATAACCCAGCGAATCTCGTTGCAGCTCTCTGCTGCATCCCCATCCCACAATCCCTTGCACCATTTGCTGCAGTCTTTCTACACGGGCTGAGTGAGAAAAAGATGTGCTAAATAAAGATTGATTGGTTTGAATCCTGAAGGGGTCTCCCACTTGTAAATGACCTGGGGGAAAAAAAAAAAAAATTCATGACAGCTTCACTGGGCCTCTTCTTATTCTTCCATTTTTCTTTCCACCTGTCCTCTCCGTGGAATGGAGCATCATTCCTTAGAGCACAAAATCTGTTGTGCATCTAATAATGACTGTGCTGTGATAGGGATTCTTAAACAGTTTTATCCGTGAGGCTTGAAATACTAACAGATGATGGTCTGTTCGTTTGGATTACTGCGGAACTGCAGCTCCGTCCCTGCAAGGATTTTATCCTCAGCACTGCACTGATTAAGCTATTTTTCTACAAAGATGGGTAGGTCTAAAATGTTCAAGTTTGCTCACTGTTATTCCTGGTGGCTGTTGCTGGGTTGCTTCTTCTGTTTCGGCCCCCGATCGTTCATTATGTCTCTGCATGCTGTAAAAATGAAGAGGGTTGCTGTCTTTTAAACAAGGCACCCAGCTGATTGCAATAGTGGGAGAGAAGGGAATGCAAATTTAGCTTATCAAGCCTTTTACACAAGTGGACTATGTGGCGGTTAGGATTATTCATTTTCTCAGTATGTTCTGTATCAGCTAATTTTGGGGCTGCTGCTAGAAATGGCTTGAATCTGTTATTTATTTCTCCATACTGTGGACAGACGATATATCTGTTTTAAGGGGTTTTGAACCCCAGCTCCCCAGTCCTTGAAGCAACGTTATTGAGTTTCCCCACCCTTTCTTACAGCTCTCAAGGCCTAACTGTTCCTTTTGAAACGTTGCCATTGGAAACCTATTCATTCATAATACATGAATAGACCCTCTGCGTTGTGAGTACCAGTGATAAGAAGAGGATGAACAAGCTGCAAGCAGTTTGTTCTCCTCAGGCTGTACTTTCGGGCCAGTTGCAGCTCTGGCTGGGTGGAGTTCCGTGATAGCAGTGTATCAGTAGCAGAGAATTCTGATCTTTCAGGAATAAATCCTGGGAACTGAACAGACAGTTATAAGTTTTGCCGATGTCCTTTCTCAGCCGGGCCATGGAAACTAATAAAGAATTTGTTAACTGTTGAGGAATTCCAGGGCTTGTTTGAAGATACCTGTAAAAATGGTGCATTTTGCTATTACATGGCTCTGTTTATCAGAAACAATTCCTCTGGAACCATTATTTGCTGTACGTTAACTATTTTTTTTCCTTTTCTAATGCTATAGGAAGTTCTTTTCATATGGGTGGGGCTGCCGCCTGACTTTGGTTCCTGAAGGCATGCATGCAGAGCAGGGCAAGGCTTTCCACTAGCTTAGAGAGCCATTGTTTTCTCCTTTCTTCGCTGTATAGCATGTTTTGAATGAAAATTGATACTGGTATCTCCAAGCAGAAGGAAGAAAAAACAAAGTTCTTTTTGGAGTGGCTGGAAGGATAACAATCCTTGAGCCTCAAAGGGGTGACCTAGAGTATACATTTCAGAACCCTTTTCTGCTCTTGACTTTGCAAACCTGAACGGGGTTCCAGTGTGTGCTTCTTATAGATACATGGGTGGGGTTTTGTTTGGTGCAATGTTTGAAAAACCTTTGGCTTTGCATATTTGAATTATGAAGTGTAACTATATGGAGAAATGATTCTGACTTGTATTCAAAGCTTGTGCTTCAGCTTCTGTTTATTAGATTGTGAGATAAAATAGACCTCTGAAATGAACTCTGGCAGTTTCTGAGTTCAGAGGATGTTACTACAAAAAAAGAATGTTTTTCTTGTAAAAATAGTGTTACTTTGTGAAATCTCCATTGCTAATGCATCTGAAACTTATGATGCTCTTTTGAGGAACTGCTGCAAGCACTGTGGTTAATCAGAAGAAATACTGTCTTTGGTGATATTCAAAAGAATCGTCTGAAATCTGCAGCTTTTCCTCAAAGAGGCTTTGATTGTACAGTTGCTTTCATTGAGTCAATGGGCAAAATCATCCTTCTCGTAGCTACATCACATTCATCAAAATCACATCAAAGGTGGAGTCAACTCAGGGAGACTGCAGAATCCTGGAAATTCCATGCTCAAAAAACTTTTTAAAATTAACCACTTGTGTAAGAATTTGTTGTGCCAGGGAGTGGCCCAAGCTTGAAATGTACTGATGAAATTCTGTTTCCAGGTGCATGTTTTAAACCTGATTTATGTGAGCACAGGGGATAAATGACAATCATGGCCTGCTGTGTTCCAGACAAAACATCAAATATTAAAAGCACTTATTTCTGAATCGTTAATGGTTTCTTTAACTGACAAAGCTTAAAGTGTGAACATTTGCAAATTAAAGTGGCTGGCATGAGCTTGTGTATGAAACACTAAGAATCACCTGGTTTTCGTATGAGACTGGGGGGATGTAAAAGAATAAGACAAAGATCACATTAAATCAACATGAAATTTTTAAGGCAGCAGGAGTTTTCCTTGTATAAACACTATTTGCTGGTGTAGTTGTACTTGATGGTGGAAGGATGAAATTACAGAAAATACCTGGTTGCTAGAGAACTTTCTTCTGTTAAGTGATAGGTGGCATTCGCTGGAGACCTTTCATATCTTAAGTGCAGGTTTTTGTCAATAGCCTCTGCTTAGCTTATAACAAAAAAAAAAAATCCTACTGTTCATAATCTGTTGGTGTCCTGTTTGGAAACTGCTTTTGCTAAGTTTTCCTGCTTCTGATTATCTTCCCTGTGTTGTATGGGCCCCCATCCCTAACTGCTGGGGAGGGAGAGTGAGAGACAAACACAGCTGCACCAGTGGTGGAATGAATTTTCTTTTGAAACACATTGCTGAAGTTCCACATGTTGCACTGCCAAATGCATGAATTTGTGCCTGTGTATTTGATGGTCTGCTCTTTGTACTCTGTTTTGTGAAAGCAAGATGTTTTGGTTCCACTTATTATAAAGCCATTTTTAACGAAAGCTTTTATAAAGTAACATAGGTTCCTAATTGGTCTCCTAAGGCTTATTGTGTGATTTATGGCATTTAAATAGGTAAAATTAAGTCATGTTTATGTAATAGTCTCATTTTATCTTACTACGGGGAAAGAAAGAAGTGAAACAAATGATCAGCCCTGAAATCATGCATTTTTGGGTCATGAGCAAACATGATTTTTTACAAGTATTACAGCAATTTTTAACCTTGCAGATTCCTCTTGGAAAAATGGAAACAAAAGGGCCTCCCATAAGCGTTCTCCATCTAATTAAATGTCAGTTACTGCTGTTGGGTGTTTTAATTGTGAATAACTTCATGCTGCTGTATTTGCTAGCACAGAGATGATGGCCCAGGAGCCTGTTATCAGGGAACTCAGCACAGTGTGATCCATAACCACTGTCATTATCCTACATTGAGCCACTTGCTCAATGCAGTAAGTAAACTGTACCTGTACGGCTAAACACACAGCTCAGGAAGAGCTGTGTGAGTTCTCCTCTGCCAGGTTAGTGTGCCGTGTAATGAGTGCAGGAAGATGACCTGATGGAATGCTGCCTATAAAATGCTACAGGTCATGCAGATCATTGTGGAATTGAGTGACCTTTGAGTGAACGTGATCAGCACCGAGGCAGAGGGCTTGTTATTTCTGCCCTGGAGAGCCTGAACTGCTATCAAGTCAAATATCAAACTGTCTGAAATGGATGACTGAAAACTGGGGTAGAAAATGTGTAGGGATGAAGTTGCTGCCTGAGGAGCATAGCTGCAGTGAAGGAGCCAGCTGGGCTCGCTGCCCGTGCAGAAGAGAAGCCTCTGTTTGGCTGTGGGTTTGGGAGGACCGGCGGAGCTCAGTGCTGCAAGAGATGCTGTTCTCACTCCCTGAGGAGTGAGCCTGTGCCTCCCAGTGCTCCAGCCCACCAGAAATGCTGATGGAGAGGAGTTCTTGCTGGGTCACCCTGCTGGGGCCTCTGCTTGTCAGGTTTTCCCAACTGTTGTAGCAAGCTGTTTACTTTTCTTTGAGATTCCTTGCTTCCTGTTCCTCCCCTGTCTTCTCTTTCTGCATAAGAATTCTGTTGGCTATAATCTGTACCTTCAGCTGGAAAGAAAGAAAATTTTTCTCTCCCTGTGCCTTGTTTGAGGACGGGAGGAGTTCCAAGCTTGCTGGCATTCCTTTAACCTGCCATTTTAATTCTATCAGTCAGTAGATTTGTTTTTCTTCTTACTCTCATAGTTCATGCTTTTTATGCCAGGATTATGAAAAGTCTCCAGTCCTAGAAACATGATTCTTACTAGTATGTTCTGCTTAGAATGCAGTTTTTCTTTCATTTATTGTTTGGATGTGCTTCATGTATCCTTCACCCAACCTTTGCTGATTCTCAGCAGCTATCAGTTGTCTCTTCTTTCCTCAGTTTCTTTTATCATTTTTTTCATTTCACCTACCTCCCCACTGTTGCTGATGCAGAGTTTGAGCATTCCCTTCCCAGGGGCTGGCTGGTTTTGCAGGTTCCTTCTTGGAGTCCAAACCTACCATATCTTTGGCAATACCAGCACTGATAAGGAAAAATAACATTAGGTGATCCATTTCCAGACTCTTGTCTGTGATGCAGCCATTTGACTGCCTGATGCAGTTCCAGTTTAAGCATTTTGCCAGCAGTACTGCAGATGTAAGAAAACCTAGGTTTGTTAGCACTGGCTGAACCTACTGGCGCAGAAATGTTTTTATCACAGGATTTCTTTAAAACCAGACAGCCCTGTAACTCTTTCAATCTAGAGGTAACATACCTTTCCGGAATGCCTGCTCAGACAGAGGTGTTGTGTGGTGTTGTAGACTTGGCTGACTATTTTCCAGACTCCCATCGCTAATAAATCATTTTAGAAGTTTAACTCTTTGCTGCTTTGGTTTCATATGGAAGTATGAATTCCTGTATAAGGATGAAACATGAGTGAATCAGTTGTAGATTCTGTTATTTCATGGAGTTTATAAGACATTTTTCTTCTTCTTTTTTTTTTTCTTCTTTTTCCCATCCCACTCTAGCAGTGTGCAGGGTAGAAGGGAACAAGACCCATATGTCAGTGGTCTAGGATGGCCAGTGAAGGCTCTAACATCCCAAGTCCTGTGGTGCGTCAGATTGACAAGCAGTTTCTGATCTGCAGCATATGCCTGGACCGTTACAAGAATCCCAAAGTACTCCCCTGCCTGCACACTTTCTGTGAGAGGTAAGTCCTTTCCTCATGCTTCTAGCTAGTTTTTTATGTCTGGCAACCAGCACAGAACTCTGCATCATTTAGTGGACAGAGACTTTTCCCTTTACTTGTAAAGGTCGTGTTAAGGCATAATAAAGTCTGGGAAGGCTGGAGGGGCAGGGGTGTAGAAAAAAAAACATACATATGTCAGGCAGGGAGAAGAGACAGCAGTGGAATACTTGGAATACATTCCCTTTATGGAAAAATAAATAAAAATAAATAAAATTAATGAATACAGTAATGACAGTGTGAAAGGTGATGCCATTCAGAATTTGGACCTCAAATTAATAGTCTCAAATTTATTCTGATTATTCTATAATTAGAAACAATAAAAACCCTTCTCTGTTGATTTACTAAGCAGAGAATTATCCCATCCTGTAATTTCCAAGGGGGTGAGACATGATCTATACATTATTAATAACCAGTGATTAAGTGTCTTCATTATTCTGCAGCTTGGTTGACTGAAATGGAAAAACTCTGAAAAGGGGTGTGATAAAGGAGCAACTTGCCTTCTACTGTACTCAGCTGAATGAATTTAATGTACTTAGTGCTATTTTAATGTTATATTATCTATCAAAGGGTAGAGGGAATACAGCACCTGCAGAAGTTACCTGAAGAATTGCTGGTTAGAGTTCATGATGGAATGCAACTCTGTGGATTGTATATTGAATGTCATGAGAATTATAATAAATAGTATTTTATGTGAACATTTAGTTTAGGAGATTTCCACCTCTTAGTTAGAATTGAGGTGTCTATATCTAATTTTGCATAGGTTGCAAGAATATCTGTGGATCTCTGAATGTGTTGGATGAAATTGTCTTTTGTAGAAGAACAGGAAACCCTGACTTTACTGAAGTCAGGAGTGAAACTCTCATTGAAGTCAGTGAAGTCAAGATTTTCACAACCATGTCTTAAGTTTCTTGACTTCAGCTCATGTGTAAATCCTAAGGTCAGCTTCTGGTTTTCACTGTAATCCTCTTATGCTGATCTGGTTATGGAGAGAGGCAGGAAGAACTCCTCCACTGTACTGCTGATGGACAAAGCCTAAGCTCTCCTTTTACAGAGCCCTTACTGGGGGGTCAGGAGGAGACCTGCCAAGGGAGGATGAACAGTGGTGCAAGCAAAGCCCTTGGAAGTGGATAAGTGTGTAGCCATGTGAGGCCACGCTTTCTTGTTCAGCATCTCATGAGGAATTTGGTGTAGCACTGCTCCCACTTCAGACTCCTTAAGTACTGCATTCTGCAGAGCTTCCTGTGCTTATGGGACTACACTGAATTGCCAGTTGCAGTCGGATGTTGCATGCCCAGCAGCTGATAACCTGATTCTCAAGGCCAAAAGTGGCAACAACTGTCACCTATAACAGTCTGCTACATGTTGGTCATCACAGAACTTTTCTGTTGTATTTTGATTCTGTGAAATTTATTTTTTTTTCTAAAAAAAAAACCAAACCAAACACCACCCCCGGCCTCGCGGACAAATCAAACACAAACAAAACTCTCCTCCAAAGCTCCCCTTACCAAACTGTGATAACCTAGGACATGCTTCTCTATGTAATAAAGAGAGCTCTGTTGATTCTGGCTAACTGCCAAATAACTTTCTGAATTGAAATAAATGTAAAATTTTCCCTTGGTTTCATTGGGACCAGCTCTGAAACACTAAACCCATAAATACAAGTTACTAAATGAGATTCTATTGGAAAGACAAGGGTCAACCACCGGTTAGTCAGTTAAAGACACAGGCTCAAATATTTGATGCAGTAACTTCATGTCTGTCAAATTATCTGACAATTCATCCCTTTTAATATCCTGTGAGCAGGATGCAGCAGATATCTAGAAGCATGGATCCGCTCTGCCCAAATATCTCAAAGCAAAGCGCATAACTCTTGTAATGATGCCAACTTATTGAAGCTTTTTTCATGTGACAGAGGAAAAAACGTTTAAAGATAAAAAATTACCCCATAGCCACTTTTACTTCTGAAGCCTGGTGATGTACCTTTCCTTTTATAAGTAGGGGTAGCACTATTTCAAACCGGTTCTTAAACTAAAGGGAAGTTTTTTTCCTCTTTGATGATCCTTTGCCTCTCTCTTTCTCCCTTTCCACCTCCCTTCCCCATAGGTGCTTACAGAATTACATTCCAGCCCATAGCTTAACCCTTTCTTGCCCCGTGTGCCGCCAGACCTCCATTCTGCCGGAGAAAGGGGTTTCTGCACTCCAGAACAACTTCTTTATCACCAACCTGATGGATGTCCTGCAACGAACACCAGACAACAGCATTGAAGAGTCCTCCATCTTGGAGACTGTCACCGCCGTTGCTGCGGGCAAACCGCTCTCCTGCCCCAATCATGATGGAAATGTAAGTGGGATGAACTACTGTGATATGTACAGGTGCTGATTTGTACTGACTGCTCTGTTTTGTCATGGATGTTTTGTTCTAAAAAGATAGTAGGAGAATTGGAATCACACCAGTTCTCTGATTTTATATGGCAAAAAAAAAAGAAAAAGTGATTCTTAAAATCAACTCAAATGCTCTTAGTGAAGCATCTTAAAGTAGTAAGGACATTATTTCATCTTACCAGTCATTCTGGATGATACTGCCTTTTAGCACATTTGGTCAAAACCATTGTCCTGAAAGTGCTGAACCTTGTGCCTTTGCTTCTTTTGGATGGGTTTCCACAGCTCTTTTCCAAGTAGACTTGACCACTGCAGTGGGAACCTGTGTGCTTGTTTAAGCAGTATGTTGCAGGGACCTTGTAAGCTTAACTGACATACATGCTGAGGCAGTACCAGAAGCTATGTGAGCATATTAACATGCAGCCAAATAAAAGGTTGTCCTAGCTCAGAATGCTTTGGGTCAGCACAGGCTAGGAAGAGAGGTTCTGTTAATCTGCAGTGTTTTGTGCATCTTGTATATAAGTCCTTGGAGGCTGCTTTGTTTTTTTTCTGCACCTACTTTTTTCGCCCAGCATCACCCCCCCCATGCACCCTCAGATCATATCAGTGTGTTCACTGGTGAGTGCCCCCAACTGAGAAAGTATTCCCAGATTATTACAAGAACAGCTCTAACTCTGCTTACTTCACAATTTTTAGTGTTACCCTCTTGTTCCATAGCCAGGCTTATGCAAACATGTAGGTAGACCATGTTGCTAAGCTGAGTGATGCTGTGTTGTAAAGTGAATGCTGTACTTCTGTGTAAGCCAAGAAATATGTGCCAGTATTCTAAGACAACTTTCTGGGGACTGTTTTATTTGATACTCTGTTTAAGTATGTTGGTTGTATAGGAATAATTCAGCTGACAGCTAGTGATTCCTCTTACAGAGGAACATTTTGGTGCCCTCTCTTTTACTGATCTGCTGGAATCAGGTGGACTTGCAGAACTGAATTGCTGTACATTCTGATTAATGAATAACTGGTGTAACTCTTTAAGTGTGTACTGTACCTCTGTGTGTGTAGTGGTTACTGATTAATACATTCATAGTTTTTATTTACATTTTATCAACTGTCCTTAAAATCAATCATGGTTCTTTTCTGACACAGAAGTCATGATAGGAGACATTTGATTGTGAAATGCAGAAAAAAAGTCAAAATGAAGATGTTACTTGTTAGCATTTTACTTTTTTAGCATTTTACTTTATCAGCTGATGATTCTTTGGGTGTGCTTAGAAAAAAAATGGCTTGCCTACAATTAAAAACATGTCACCTTATACCTCTCTGAGAACTCCTGTCTTGGGAAAGGTGGATTTGTAAGTCCTCTAAACCAAACTTACTTGGCCTGCCTTGAAACATAATGTGCCTAATAGGATGTTGAGTGATGTGTGATGGCAATATCTTCTTGCTTCAGTAAGTATCTGGGAGGGCTGGGGACAGGCTGAGGATGATTCCAATGTAAAGCTTTGTGGGGGTAGGAAATGAAAAGATAAAGTGCACACATCAGACCTCGTGGTGGGAGGAGCTGAGCTAAGCTTTGGGGAGAGCTGGGTTGTTGTGTCTGGCTGAAGGGCAGGGTGTGCAGGGCAAGATGCTGGGCACCTTAGGCCTGACTGAGGAAATGGGCTTTTGCTGGCTTCGTGGGTACACAGCATGAGGGCACTGGGTGATAAGCACCTTGCTCCTAGCAGCTTTGGTAGGGGCTTCAGGGAGGCTTCAGAGAGGATTGAGGTGGTAGCTGGAGGTGGCTTCAGAACCAGCAGTCATTCTGCACTGAATCCTCTCTCCATTCATTTTTTTCATATTGCTTGGGGTAGGGTCAGACCCATTGTATTTTTACCATCAGGGGAAAAAATTACATCAGGTGTATTTCATTTACATGTTACCAGATTTTCTTTGTATTACCTTGGAAATAAGTTCTGTTTAAACAAGTTTTTTTTTCAATCTTTCCAGCTGTGCTGGATTTAAGCCTCTCTGATTAAAATCAGCTAGAAACTGATGCACAGATAATTTCTCATTGGCTTCCCTGTCTGCTTGTAACTTAGCCTTCCTCAGGCTCTGTGGACTAGATACTTTCCCTTCCAGTTGGTCTCTTATTCCCACCACCTTATGTTTTCCATACATGTGTATGTGTGTGTCCTATTCTTCTTGTGCACATCCTCTGATCCTTCGTTGTGGCATCTTTTACTTTCCCTTCCAGTTGGTCTCTTATTCCCCACCACTTATGTTTTCCATACATGTGTATGTGTGTATCCTATTCTTCTTGTGCACATCCTCTCGTTGAGGCATCTTTTTGTGTGTGTTCTTATGAAAAACGAAATGTAGCCTGTAGTACCTTAACATGAGAGAGTGTTTCCTGTGCTTGAACTATAAACAAACGCTTCCTCATATTTACCCAACAATCTTTTTGTGTGTGTTCTTATGAAAAATGAAAGGTAGCCTGTAGTACCTCAACATGAGAGAGTGTTTCCTGTGCTTCAACTATAAACGCTTCCTCATATTTACCCAACGCAGAGCAGAAATATGTGGTCTTGTTAAACTGGGGCAATAGAGTTATTGAACATTATAGAACTTTTGAGCCTACCAGAAGATTCTTATCATCTACCTACACATTAATAAGATTGGCCTTTTCTCAGCTGATAAACACCTGCAGATCTTGTTGGGTGTAAGCATCCCCATTCAGAGACGTTGGCCTACATTTAGGGGCAAGTACAATGGCCAGGTCAGGGAATGATGTGAAGTTCTAGGTCCATTAATTCATAATGTGTAATGAGTGGTGTAGCCTCTTTGCAGTCATCCGTCCTGAAAAGTCCATGCTTCAGTTTTATTGGAATTTGAAGTGACAGCAAGCCCAGAGTCTAGGATCCATACTTTTACAGGTGCAGTGTATTTTTTGCCTATAGAGTGTAACAAGAGAGCATACACAATATTAAATTAAATACTTGTAACAAGAGATCATGCCTTATCTCTGACTAGGTTTTTCTCAAAAGATCACAGAATAACTTGGCAACTTGACAGGTATAAGATCTTGTCTAGAAAAACCTGTCCTGAACTTGTGCAGATGTTGCTTACTGCATGGATGTTTCTCTTAGAAAAATAAAAAAGCTCCTATCCTTGATATTCTGATGGAGTCACTTTATAACATATTTTTTAAACTTTATTTTTCTCCTCATCTCTTTACTTCTCACCTTGTTATTTACTCATGTAATTAAAATTTAAATTCTTTTAAAAGCCAAAACTTACAAAGCTAATGTACACACTAGCCATGGGACAGAGGAATTAAGTATGTGTGTGAGATGAGAAAGAAGGCTGGCAAACAGCAGACTCATCCTTTTTCTCTGGACTGCTGTTTTATTTCAAACCAATGGAAAGCAGAGGATGAACAATGTGATTATTCAAATGTGATTGTAGAGAAGCAGGGCTTGTGATTGGTGAGAGCCTTCTGCTCAAGACCTGAACTTTGAAGGGCTGCAATTAGTGTGCTTTGGCTTTGTGAAATCTAATTCAGAAATACTTGCATCCTTGACTATGCAAATTAAAAGGTTTCTGTAAATTCAGTTCAATTACAGTAGTGAAGGTATGCATGGGTCTCTAATTAGATCATTGTGCTGAAATACACTGGTCTAGTTTAAGGTGGGAGCTAATGGATGGGATTTCAGAACCAGTGGATATTAATCACATTTCATTACAGCTGATGGGGATGTTCTCATTGATTTCAGTGGAAATAGAGCTGAAGCCAATGCCATACTTAATCATGCTCATGATCTTGCTTCAGGTTGGGCTCAGACAAAGTTTTTTGTTTTCTGAGATGTTTTGTAAAGCAAACCTATTATCATTAAATGCTTTGTGGGAATGTTACAAAATGCGATGCCCATGTTGGACATGAAGAAGGGAGAGGAAAAGGCAGTAATACATGTCTGTCCATAGTTTAGAAATTAATCTTGTCTGATTAAGAAATGCTAGACAAAATCTTAGGAAATCAGCTTATCAAGGCACTTAAAACCTGAATTGTATTAATATTAGGTTTTCTTTCTCCCTCAGCTATGGCACAATCCAAAGATTTTAATGGGAGATGAAAGCTGCTTGACTCAAAACATTTTTAATTTGATTGAGACAAAGAATAATATTTCTATGTAGACATACACTTTAGGTCTGTGTGACCTGCTTGCTATTACCATTCTAGCTTATGTGATTCACTGGTGCTTGGATAAAGAGGAACAAAGTTGATTAGGCTAAATTTTAATATGCCAGTGAGATGCTTTCTTTCCTATCTATGTTGCTGCAAAAATAATGGTGTTTATTTTTGAGGTGTTTGATAGGAAACAGAAATACTAAATTATTCAAATAATTGTATCCAAACATAAAAATACTGAATAAGTAAAGGGCTTGTTAAAATATCCTGCATCTAAGCATTACATTATGAAGAGGCAGAAAGATGATCTTTTGACACTCATTCAAAAGAAAAGAAATTTTTTGACCGTATAAAAAGATTTGAGAGTTTCCTGATAAAAATATTCTTCCTTTTGTTTGTTTCTGGTTGCAAATTTTTGAAGCTTTTGAAAAGAGTTTAAATCCTAAGCTCTATTTTGCTCATTTCCTCTATGCACTCTAAGACTGCATCACATCTTAGTGCCTACTAAAGTAACTGTCAGGCCTCAAAAGGGTCTACTACTGTGAGACTGCTAAATTCACAGTGCCTGGAGTAGTGTTGGTGGGGATTGTCATTGTTTAGGTGGTCTGCTTTTTCTTCCTTGCAGATATATTTGATCTTACAGTTTATTTGAAGCAGCTTTTAAATTGTCTCTCAAGCGGCTTATGTGAATGGCCAGCAAATGACTTAAACCCTCCCTGCATGTGAATCCCATGTCTTGTGAATTGAGATAACAGGGAAGAATGGGAATAAGATGGGATGGAGCTTATCAGAAGAAAATCCCTATTAATGCTAAGAGCCACATGCAAATCATGGTTCTTTCTTCCCCATCCTAATTCTCAAGATGTCATGGAGCAGCCAGCTACTTTGCATGCTCCTGTTACAGGTCCCTCTGCTCAGCTGAAGACAGCCAGCTCTACACAACCATATTCTTGTCAGCCAATAGTTCCAGTACAACCATCTCTGCAAAAGAGGTCTAGGCACCAGAAGCATCAGCTGAGATAATCAAGATTTTGATGCTATGTTCTGAATGCAAGAGAGCTGCCAGTGTCTTGCTTTGAAGCATATACTATGAGCTTCTTTATATACTTTTAATAAGCCTAAAATGCTTTGTGCTCAAGGACTTCCTAGCTGTAAAAGAAAGTCTCATGCCAAATTTGCATATATATGCCTTATTTTGACTAATTTATTATTTTGAGCACAGTGCTTTTTTGTTTCTTTCCTTTCATGAATATATTCAGAATTTGGGGTATTTATTACATGTAAAGATCTTTTTTTTTATCTCCAGACAGCATCCTACTGGGTACATAACAGGTTGAAACAATCTTCTGCTCTTTCAAGTGTAGATCAGCACTCTTATTATAATCTCAGGTATGAGGTTTTAAAGGTTTTAAAAGATTAGTAATGGGATATGGAGATTTTTTCCTGCAGCACGTTGGTTCATTTAGGGTGCTTTTCTCTAACAAATAAGCATACTGTTTGGTAAGCTCTCTTGAGTTCAGGTTCCACATGTGTTATGAAAAACAGCCCAAGTTTACACTTTCTTAGGTAGACCTTCTGGGGAGACTAAGGACCATGCTAGTAAGGCAACTTGAATGCCCTGTTTTTTGAGTTGTTTCACGGAGCAGTTGAAAGAGACACCAAAACTTACCTTTACATGGTATAAAGATGATGTTAGGGCCAGCCTTAAAGTCCAGCATTTTGTTTCCCAGGCTGCTGTTCTGACACTTTCTGATAGAAATGCTTTTAAACTGACATCTTGATATGAAATATCTAACAGCCATCTTTTAGGTAGTACATTATTGGTGCCTAAAAAAGAAGAAACTTTTTTTCAGGGCTTGGACAAGACCTGGTAAGGTGTACTTTGAATGTTTTTACTGCTGCCATGTTTGAATTTGTATTTGTGCACTTTTCCAGGTGATGGAGTTTTACTGCCAGTCCTGTGAGACAGCCATGTGCCGGGAGTGTACAGAGGGAGAACATGCAGAGCATCCCACAGTACCGCTCAAGGATGTGGTGGAGCAACACAAGGCTTCCCTCCAAGTCCAGTTGGATGCTGTCAACAAAAGGCATGGAGACACCATTGATTATTTTACATTTTCAGTTCTACTGCTGGCTTCCTGTGTTACCTTGGGTAGATGTTTTACTGTGCTGTTGAAATGGACCTTTACCTAGAAAATAGGGATAGTGAGGCAAGCGTAAGGAAAAAAAATCCATTAAGTGTGATGCACTGAGGAATTAAAGAGAAGAGCAAAAGATTCCTATCTGTCTTTCTCAAAACACCTAGAAAACAGGGCTAGTGAGGCAAGCATAAGGAAAAAAAATCCATTAAGTGTGATGCACTGAGGGATTAAAGAGCAAAAGATTCCTATCTGTCTTCCTCAAAACAGAGTCCATTAGAAATATGTGTCCTCCACAGAAGGGGCATAAAATGTTAAGGAGAAAAGTACTAGCCAGTCATGAATTTCATAATAAATAATACTGGATTCTTAAAAGACTAGTACAAACGCAACAGTGGAAGAAAGTCTCAAAGAAAAACAAAACAAAAAAAAGGGCTAGATCTAGTTATGTCTTCCCAAGTAGGTACATTTGCATAATGCACAGAGGATCCAAGTCCTTGTTGTTGGTAATACCTAAAATGTAATGGATTTACACAAGGGAGGGCCTTGGTTTAGCCTTATTTTACCAGACCAAAATCACTGTGTGGTTATAAAGGGAATGAACTCACTTCTGGGAAATGACTGAGTTTAAAGACAGCCTGCTGATGAAATTATTTCATCAAAAGATAGCAGGGCAAGGGCCAATGTTTAATGACTTTTGAAACAGCAATCTTTGTAATTTAATCCCTCCCTCAGGCTTCCAGAGATCGACTCAGCACTCCATTTTATATCTGAAATCATACACCAGTTAACCAACCAAAAGGCTAGCATTGTAGATGACATTCATACCACTTTTGATGAACTCCAGAAGACTTTAAATGTGCGAAAGAGCGTGCTGCTTATGGAACTGGAAGTGAATTATGGCCTTAAACACAAAGTAAGATGCATGTTTTTTTTCAATGAAAAGCTATTGATTTGATAAGCCAGTTTTTTACAAATGATGCAGGATGCCAGTTTGACAAATTGTGTCTGAAATCCAGAGGAGAACTTTGTTTTCCTGAAATCAAGCGTTGCAGAGCCTCGCTCATGGTGCCCAGCCTTATAAGTGGAATCCAGACCCTGTATGGGCAGGTACCCCTGTGTGTGAGGATCTAAAATGGCTGGCACACTAAGTAGATGTCTGCTTAAAGCTGATATGCTGATATGCATGTTACAATAATGGAACTCCAAAGGAAACTCTGAAATCCTTGGCTGCAGTCCTGTGAACCCCTCCCCCATGAAGATACAGGCCAAACAATTTCTCCTGAAGAACTGAGCAAGGCTTTCTGTTTTGCTTTAAAGTAGTGTTTTCCTTTCAAATGCCTGGTAACATATTTCACGTTAGATGTCACTGGTTGGAACACATAAAGGTTGGAAGGACATCTCACTTTCTTAGGGGAATACAGAGAGCAATAGATTCCAAGCTGTATTCACTCTTTTACTTTCTATTTGGATGATTAAATCTTGCAGTTTCCCCCCTGTGGTGCAGACTAAGCTTCAGAGCAATAAAACAGAAATCTCTGCTTTTGCAAAGAGAAGCCTGTAGTCCCGTCACCTGGTGGGCAGGGTTTTTGTTGTGGATTAGTACATCTGAATCAGGAGAATGAAAGAAATTAGTCCTTGTCTTCCTGGGCATCAGTTATCTGATTTATATAAAGGAAAGATCTCTTGCCTCAAAGCAGCCTTAAAAAAAAAGTAGCATCAACAACTGGAGTGCTTGATAATATTGGCATCTTTGGGCATTCTCTGTGATTACTGAGCAGCTTGAGCATCTCCAGATACCTGAAGTGCAAGAATGATGCATTCCTGGATCATTAGGAAGGTATTGAACTGCTGGATCTGTGAAAATGGAGGAATTCTAACATGTGCACAAGAAGAGTACTTAAAGGAACACAAGAAACCCAAACCCCTTTGAGCACAGAATGCAGTCATCTACAGAGCAGCTGAAGAGCTTTTAGTGTCAAAAATTTGGACTTAGATCACAGGTTAATGTAAATGTATCCAAGATGTCACAAAAACTTATTTTCATAGCAAACAAATATACTCAGGGTGTATACAAAGCTCACACAAGATGGAATACGATGTTAAATTATCTTGTTGTTTAAAGTGGTTTAAAATAGTTTAAGAACTATTTTGGCCTTTAGAGAACCAAATTTTTACAAAGCTGCACCTATGTTTGTATAAAAAGAAAAGCAACTGGACCTGAATTTTCCTTTTGAATGAATAGTAGTCATTTAAAATAATCCAAACCCAAATATTCCATCATTCTGATCATGTACTTTGCAAAAATGAAAAACTGAAAGGACTATACTACAAGAAAGTTGGTGATGGTTTCATTTGTCCAATGGACAGTGAAAATGAGGCCCCATGTAAAATACTCTAAACATGTTTTAAATATTAGTTATGGTAGGATTTAATATTTTCCATCTTTGTAATGAAAGAAAACTATATTGAGATAATAATGGTTTTAAAATGTAGCTGTAAATTGTCTTCCTCCTCAGTTTGTGGTTTGTTGTCCCAAGCATATATATGTTTTTTTTGTCACTCCATTAGCTGTGCTATCTGTTTAACCACTTATGTTCTTGAATAAAGACAAGGCAGATTAGAAATGTCTCATATTGAATCCTGGGAGGTTTATAGACACCTAGTAAAACAGGTAACTTGAAATTTCAGTGTAGTCTTGAAATTTGTTCATCCTGTTTTGCTTTCAACAGATTTTGTGTAGTTACCACTTTTCCGTATCGGTAACTCATCAGCCTGGATTACCTCCAGGGGGTGAAGTAGATTGCTTTCTAAAATTCAGAAGAAAAATCCCCTTAGAATGCAGTGTCATTACATGGTGTGTCTCTGCAAGGGAAGAGTATTATGTAGCAAGAAATACATCCAGTCTCCAATTTTACTTTAAAATCAGTTGAAATGTTTCAAAAATATTTACTTTACAGTGATGGTCAACAAAATAAATTCTCTGATCCACAGTAATGTCCGTGCCCTAGTTCTTCTCTGTAGGGATTAACATACCATATGCATGACTGGGTACTTTGGTTTAGGGATTTTGTTTGGGGAGGGGGAAGGGGAGTGTAGCTGGAATGTCTTGGTTTTCCTGACTGTCATGAATTTCTCTGGTAGGTGGCTGTAATTCAGAGACCCTTCTTCCAATTCATTGCAAAACTGCTTTAAAAAAACAGTTAATTTTGAGGTCAATTCTGTTTTAAGGATTTTAGACTGAGGGACAGAACTGAGTCTACAGTAAAAGCTCTTTCTCAGTTAGTCCGGTACTACTTCTAAAATGAAACTTCAAAATAATCCCTAAAATAAAGAAGTATAAATTGCATTTTACATAGGCCTTCAGATATAAAACACACTTCTCCTTGCTAGGATAGTTTTTGTGACGTGGTGCTAATCTGGTGTTTGGTAATGCACACAGGTCCTCCAAACACAGCTGGATACCTTACTCGAAGGACAAGAAAGCATCAAAAGTTGCAGCAACTTTACAGCCCAAGCTCTCAACCACGGCACTGAAACTGAAGTCCTGCTGGTGAAGAAGCAAATGAGTGACAAGCTGAATGAGCTGGCTGAGCGGGACTTCCCGCTGCAGCCCCGTGAAAACGATCAGCTGGACTTCATCGTGGAAACAGAAGGCCTGAAGAAATCCATTCACAATCTGGGTACCATTTTAACCACCAATGCTGTTGCCTCTGAAACTGTTGCTACAGGTGAGGGACTGAGGCAGACCGTGATCGGACAGCCCATGTCTGTTACCATCACGACCAAGGACAAAGATGGGGAGCTCTGTAAGTCTGGGAACGCTTACCTCACTGCTGAACTGAGCACGCCCGACGGCAGCGTGGCAGATGGAGAAATACTTGACAATAAAAATGGCACTTACGAATTTTTGTATACTGTTCAGAAAGAAGGGGACTTCACTTTGTCTCTGAGACTTTATGATCAACATATCAAGGGCAGCCCGTTCAAACTTAAAGTGGTCAGATCAGCAGATGTGTCCCCTACCACTGAAGGGGTGAAGAGGCGTGTGAAATCTCCTGGCAGCGGTCACGTGAAGCAGAAAGCTGTGAAAAGGCCTGCGAGCATGTACAGCACTGGCAAAAGAAAAGAGAATCCCATTGAAGATGATTTGATCTTCAGAGTAGGTAGGTGACTTGTCTGCTGCCTGTTGACATACTTAAAGATAGTTCAGGGAAACTGGATGAAAAAGTCGAGAAGGTAAAATATTTTAAGGTTAAAGCTGTAAGTAGAGCAACCTGGTAATGGAGCCAGGCCTCTTGACTTCTGTTTGCATGTAAATTGTGAAAGCAAATTCTTCAGAAATTTTGTTTGCAGCAAATACTTACTTGGAATTTGGGTTGAGAAATGCATACATTTTATTTGGGATAGAATATTTTACCATCTGTTCTGTACTCTGTTGAGTGTCATAAAGTGAAAAGGTAAAACTGATGCTTCAGGTTAGATTAAATTACTTTTTTTAAAAGTTGCATGGCAAGAAGGGAAGCAGGAGGACTCGTCTAAAACTATTACCCTATAGATCCATCTAATTAATTAACCTGGAACTATACATCCTGTGGTCATACAAAGTTATTTTATGTTAGCACAGGACAAAGTTAAGGTTTTCTTTCTTTGCTTTTTCCCCCTCCATTTCTAAATATGTTTAGTTCTTTATACAGTGTAATATTATCTCTAAATCTGTGGACATCTAATGCTTGGTAAAAATATAACATCTTGGTGTCATTTACTGTGATTTTCTTTCAGGTCTTTTGATGTACTCTTTTTAAGTGTTAGAATAATAGCTGATCATTTAAAAGTCTATACCATGGGGCACTGTATTTATATAACACCTGCTTATATCGGTACGAAATACTTTTAACTTTGTACAACTAAAGGAAGAAGCCAGTTAATTCTTAGAATGTACAAGTCAGGATTTCAGCAATATGTGTTACCAAATTTCACAACCAGTCATCAAGGTGGTGCCACGGTTTGGGGTCAGGGCAGCC